TCATCCACTCTGGACTCGCTCTGTCCTCTCACATCTCGGCAGGCTCGTCAGTCCCCTCCTGCTCCCTGGCTAAATGATGCACTGCGTGCTAATAGAACCGTCCTTAGGGCAGCAGAGCGGAAATGGTGGAAATCCAAACACCGTGACGACCTCCTAACCTATCAGGCTCTCCTCTCCTCTTTCTCTGCTTCGATCTCTCAGGCAAAAAGCACTTTCTTTCAAGATAAGATCCAATCTTCCTATTCCAATCCTAAAAAACTATTTTCCATCTTCTCCACCCTCTTGGACCCTCCAAAAGCTCCTCCCCCCTCCTCACTTCTGTCAAGCGACTTTGTTACCCACTTTGAAAAAAAGGTTGATGATATTCGCTCTTCTTTTTCTGACTCACCTTTACTCACCGCTGGGTCACCAGACCCTCCTTCCACCAACACACTTACCTCCTTTTCCCCTCTCTCTCCAAGTGAGGTTCTTACCCTCATTACCTCTGCCCGCCCTACCACCTGTCTTCTGGACCCTATCCCTTCAAACCTCCTTCAGACTATCGCTCCTGATATTCTACCGTTTCTCACCCATTTCATCAACACTTCTCTAACTTCTGGTCACTTTCCAAACAGTCTCAAGGAGGCAAGAGTAAACCCTCTCCTAAAGAAACCCACTCTCAACCCGTCTGATGTTATAAACTACAGGCCTGTCTCTCTCCTCCCGTTCCTGTCTAAATCACTTGAACGCGCTGTCCTCTCCTGTTATCTCAATCAGAACAACCTTCTGGATCCGCACCAGTCTGGTTTCAAGGCAGGTCACTCCACAGAAACTGCTCTCATTGCTGTCACGGAGGAACTGCACACTGCCAAAACTGCATCCCTCTCCTCTGTCATCATCCTATTGGACCTGTCTGCTGCATTCGACACGGTGAATCATCAGATCCTCCTTCGCACTCTCCAAAAACTTGGAGTTTCAGGCTCTGCACTTTCCCTCCTCACCTCATACCTGAAAGACCGTACCTACAGGGTGACTTGGAGAGGGTCTGAGTCCGACCCTTGTCAATTAACTACGGGGGTCCCTCAGGGCTCTGTTCTTGGTCCCCTCCTCTTCTCCCTGTACACAAACTCGCTCGGATCAGTCATTAGCCCGCATGGTTTTTCTTACCACTGCTACGCTGATGACACCCAATTAATTCTGTCCTTTCCCCGCTCAGAGACCCAGGTCGTTGCACGCATCTCTGCTTGTCTAGCTGACATCTCTCAGTGGATGTCTGCTCACCACCTCAAGCTCAACCTTGACAAGACTGAGCTGCTCTTCCTCCCGGGAAAAGGCTCTCGTCATCTCACGCCTAGACTACTGCAACTCCCTCCTGGCTGGTCTACCTGCATGTGCCATCCGACCTCTGCAGCTCATCCAGAATGCAGCGGCTCGTCTGGTCTTCAACCTTCCTAAATTCTCCCACACCACTCCGCTCCTCCGCTCCCTTCACTGGCTTCCGGTAACTGCTAGAATCCACTTCAAGACACTGGTACTTGCTTACCATGCTGCGAATGGATCTGGCCCTTCCTACATCCAGGACATGGTTAAACCGTACACCCCAGCGCGTGCACTACGCTCTGCATCAGCCAAACGACTCGTTGCGCCCTCGCTGCGAGGGGGACCCAAGTTCCCATCGGCGAAAACACGTGGGTTTGCTGTCCTGGCTCCAAGATGGTGGAATGAGCTCCCCATTGACATCAGGACGGCAGATAGCTTGCACATCTTCCGGCGCAAACTGAAAACTCATCTCTTTCGACTCCACTTCGAGCGTTAGAACTATTAACGAAGCACTTTTATACTAATAAAGGACTGACTTCCCTAAAGCCAGTTGAGTAGCACTTGAAATATTTGGCTCTATGAAACCTGATGTACTTATATGATTCTGTTTTCTTCAAGGTTGTGTCTTCCTGGTCGAATGTACTTATTGTAAGTCGCTTTGGATAAAAGCGTCAGCTAAATGCAATGTAATGTAATGTAATGAATACATGTTTTTTATCCCACAATAAAGTTGACAAAAATGCTCATTCTTGTTCTCTGGAGAGGACTTTGAAACTCAAATTACTCAAAAGTACACAGTAAAAGTAGTTCATATTATTTTTGCAAGTAGTACTAGAAGTACTAAGTACAAACATGGCAGTTTCAGAAACTACTTATGGAAGAAATGTTTTTTATCCCACAATAAAGTTGACAAAAATGTTCATTCTTGTTCTCTGGAGAGGACTTTGAAACTCAAATTACTCAAAGGTACACAGTAAAAGTAGTTCATATTATTTTTGCAAGTAGTACTAGAAGTACTAAGTACAAACATGGCAGTTTCAGAAACTACTTATGGAAGAAATGTTTTTTATCCCACAATAAAGTTGACAAAAATGTTCATTCTTGTTCTCTGGAGAGGACTTTGAAACTCAAAGTACTCAAAAGTACACAGTAAAAGTAGTTCATATTATTTTTGCAAGTAGTACTAGAAGTACTAAGTACAAACATGGCAGTTTCAGAAACTACTTATGGAAGAAATGTTTTTTATCCCACAATAAAGTTGACAAAAATGTTCATTCTTGTTCTCTGGAGAGGACTTTGAAACTCAAATTACTCAAAGGTACACAGTAAAAGTAGTTCATATTATTTTTGCAAGTAGTACTAGAAGTACTAAGTACAAACATGGCAGTTTCAGAAACTACTTATGGAAGAAATGTTTTTTATCCCACAATAAAGTTGACAAAAATGTTCATTCTTGTTCTCTGGAGAGGACTTTGAAACTCAAAGTACTCAAAAGTAAACAGTAAAAGTAGTTCATATTATTTTTGCAAGTAGTACTAGAAGTACTAAGTACAAACACGGCAGTTTCAGAAACTACTTATGGAAAAAATGTTTTTTATCCCACAATAAAGTTGACAAAAATGTTCATTCTTGTTCTCTGGAGAGGACTTTGAAACTCAAATTACTCAAAAGTACACAGTAAAAGTAGTTCATATTATTTTTGCAAGTAGTACTAGAAGTACTAAGTACAAACATGGCAGTTTCAGAAACTACTTATGGAAGAAATGTTTTTTATCCCACAATAAAGTTGACAAAAATGCTCATTCTTGTTCTCTGGAGGGAATTTTGCCATTCTCAAAAAGTACACAGTAAAAGTAGTTCATAGTATTTGTGCAACAAGTTTATGAAGCAATAAGTCCTAACATTATTCTAATAAATTACCCTGTTCCTCAATCGCAAATAATATAAATGAACCACATGCCATCCTTTACTTTGAAATCCTCACCGGAAGTGTTCCTCGGTGGGATTTTCTGTAGCTTTTTAGTGGTCGAATATATAATACTGCACATACGAAACGGGAGAAGTGTACGGCCGGGCACTAGAAAGCTTCCCAGCCAGGGTTGTTTTTATTGCATTACCGTAAACCTGGAACTAATCGCGCACTCGAAATACAGGGACGGCTGGTTTGACCACGCAGAAGTGAAAGACGGCTGGCTTGACCGCAGTTGAAAACGGTACTGTTGGATTCAGTACTACTTGGACTACTAGCACAAGTACAATCAAGTATTTTTACTGTGTACTTTTTGAGTAATCCTTTGTCAAACTCCACCCCTGAGTACAATAATGCATGTTTTCTGCCATCTTTGATGAGAGATTAAATGATTTTGTGCAATAAGTTCTTAATGTAATTGGTACTGTTGGATTCAGTACTACTTGGACTACTACCAAAAGTACAATCAAGTACTTTTACTGTGTACTTTTTGAGTAATCCTTTGTCAAACTCCACCCCTGAGTACAATAATGCATGTTTTCTGCCATCTTTGATGAGAGATAAAATGATTTTGTGCAATAAGTTCTTAATGTAATTGGTACTGTTGGATTCAGTACTACTTGGACTACTACCAAAACTACAATCAAGTATTTTTACTGTGTACTTTTTGAGTAATCCCCTGTCAAACTCCCCTCCAGAGTACAATAATGCATGTTTTCTGCCATCTTTGATGAGAGATAAAATGATTTTGTGCAATAAGTTCTTAATGAAATTGGTACTGTTGGATTCAGTACTACTTGGACTACTACTAAAAGTACAATCAAGTACTTTTACTGTGTACTTTTTGAGTAATCCCCTGTCAAACTCCCCTCCAGAGTACAATAATGCATGTTTTCTGCCATCTTTGATGAGAGATGAAATTATTTTGTGCAATAAGTTCTTAATGAAATTGGTACTGTTGGATTCAGTACTACCTGGACTACTACTAAAAGTACAATCAAGTACTTTTACTGTGTACTTTTTGAGTAATCCCCTGTCAAACTCCCCTCCAGAGTACAATAATGCATGTTTTCTGCCATCTTTGATGAGAGATAAAATGATTTTGTGCAATAAGTTCTTAATGAAATTGATACTGTTGGATTCAGTACTACTTGGACTAGTAGCACAAGTACAATCAAGTACTTTTACTGTGTACTTTTTGAGTAATCCTTTGTCAAACTCCACCCCTGAGTACAATAATGCATGTTTTCTGCCATCTTTGATGAGAGATAAAAGGATTTTGTGCAATAAGTTCTTAATGAAATCGGTACTGTTGGATTTAGTACTACTTGGACTACTACTAAAAGTACAATCATGCTTTGCCTGTCCAGATACGATGCTGTAGTACATGGAGAGAAGTTCCTGGAGGCTGACTCCACAGAAATTATAGGCCATGGACTCCATGAGGACTGTAGAGCCATCACAGATCAGCATGACAGGTCTTTTTTTGGCTCCCCTTCCATGGAGTCTTATTACATCAGTCAGAAATGACCCAAGGAAAAAGGATATGGAGGCTATTGTGTGGTCGTTTGTGATGTAGGTGGCCACAGGGACAGGGGAGGATCCTTTGAACGGATTTCGGACCACCATCTCATACACATAAAAAGGTGAGGTTTTCCCTTTTGCCTTTTTAACAATGCTCCCTGTCGCATCCACATATACAATGTCTTCCCTGCACCTGTCATGGAAGAGGTCAATTGTTTTGTTGGACCATAGCATGACTCCTTTGGGGTGTGCTATAATTTTTTTTAATGACTGCTTCCTCAGTCTCAAGCTCTTCCTCCATCATTTTTCTGAGGCTGATCATTTCATTGCTGTGCTTTCTCAGCTTCTTTCTTGCCTGCCAGGACAATGTTTTCATCACACCAGTTGATGGTACCTGGTCTCTGTTTCCAGAAGCCAACACAGTGTCATCCAGTTTATTGAGCTTATCAAGGTACACACTTCTGGGAAGTTTGCTGGTGAGGGCATTAGCAAGTGCATCCCTTTCATCTGCACGCACAGGCCGATGTTTGAGTTCTTCACAGTTGTGCCATGCTTTTTCACCTCTGAAGGTCACAACTGCCTTAAGGGATGACTCATCCTCAATGTCAACTTCGACCTCCACAGGACAGTCATCAAATCGACAGTAGCCAACACATGAAAAAAGTGACCCTTTCCTTTTTGACCCAACTGTTTGCACACTGTGAGATTTGAAGACAAAGCAACAGTGTGGGTGGACACTCCGGATGCCAGTGGCCATGACTGAAGTCCAGTTTAAAGATTTGAATCGACGCTTATGTTGTCTCATCCTCAGTTTCTTCCAGTCACTTTTAGTGACAAAAAAAAATGAAGGATTTGAAGGCAATTTAAATGAGTGTAAGAGTTGCCCATCTTTTGAGTGTGATGAGGAGTCATATGTCCCTGATGAATTACACTGTAAAACACAATGAAAAAATATTAGCGAAAGTGACCAAAGTTGGAATGACTCTTTACTGATGTGAATCAATATATCTGAAATTGTTTATTTGGGACTAACTATAATTTCACTCCACACAGTAGTGTGCATGTTTCATAACACACTAACACTAACTACGTGCTAATATGCGATATTTACCTCTGAAACGTCTTCTGGTTCACTCGTCTCTGTGAATGCCTGTCTAACCGACGATGGGGTAGCAGGCACTGTGCGGTCAATGTCAGTGGAACTGTGGTCACCGTCGATGGGGCAGGCCGTGTGGTCACTGTCTGTCGATGGGCTGGCAGGTGCTGCGGTCACCATCTGTGTCTTGTGTCTCATCTGCACATGACAAGGAGCAAATGAAATCCAAAGATGTAATTATTAATCAAATAATATAAAATATTATAGCACATCCAAATTAAAGTTGTTCACACAGGCAGACTGATGATGAAGATAAAAGCAAAGCAGAAATAAGAATCAATATTAGTGCAATATTTATAAAAAATGTACCTTTTTATGATGATTATAGGCATGATGAAGCCGTGTCCTATTGGTCTTGGAATCGGATATTCCAAGCTCCTGACACACCTCGCCCCAGAAAGTGTCTTTCTCGTCACCTTCATCGTTGTCTTTTGTTTTGGTTGTGGCTCGAAGCTTGTCAGTGACAGCCAAAAGGACTTCTTTTGTTATTGTTATTTTTCTTGTCTGAAATTGAAATGTCAAAGTTCCGTCATTTCTTTGTAAAAAAATATGACATTTGAGAAATCATTGAATTTTTTAATGCAATTACAATTGTGTGACAAATAAGAAACACTTGCCTTCCCAAACGTTGAGAAAACCAAGACTCTGAAAAGACATAAGTTAAAATCTATTATTTATAGTTAGACTTTTCACTCAGTTTAGACTTTTTTAATTAATTAGCTTGATTCCCTGACTTCTGATTTGTTGCCTATGCTATGTCGATTTGCGCTGAAAGGACAGAGGGATATATTCATAGGTGTCATTTAAGCGGGGGATGCTGGGTACATGTCCCCAGCACTTTTTAAAATGTTGTCCATACATTTTATAAAAGTATAACTTTATAACCTGTAATAAACAAGAACACTGTTTTTTTCTTATTTAAAAATAATAATAATACATGTACATCTTGAGAAAACAGTTTGTCCGTTGACAATTTCTATGGGGATTCTTAAATTTGGACATGTTCATACAATTTTAAAAGATAATGTATCACCCAGTCCCCCAGCAGGGTTTTTGTTTACAAACGTGTCATCTGTTAAACAACATGTGAGTTCAGTGTGTCGGGTGCCGCAGGAAGTAGGGGTGCTGGAGGAGCTGAATGGTGTACATTTGAAAAACTGAGCGACCACCTAAATAAAAATGATTAAACTACATATAATAGTTATGATTTGACTTAAAATAAAGTCAAATCAGAACTATAAACAATTCATATAAACATTTGTGTTTTATTTTCGAACACAATTATGTATATAACTACTTTTCTGTTGAAATACAAATATACGTACCCTCGACGAGCTTCCATTACAGATGAGGTCCATGGAAGCACTAATTGACAGGTATAGAGAACCGCAGTGACGCGTGGTAAAACCCGGAAGTAAACTTCTTCCGGTTCCTTCGTGAAAAACCAATGCAAATTCTCCATAGGATTTTGGAAAATAGCTCGAAATAAGGTCTGTGGTTGACACACATTTAAGAGAGGGATCACGTTTTGTTCAGCCGGATAATCTCCACATGTCTACCCTACTTTTATAATTTGAATCATAAATCTAGTCGCCAAAAGCGAAATGCTAACGTTATGCTATAAACGAACTACAAGCCAGTACAGCAGCAGGGTCGCACGACTTCAACGTCACGCCAACTTAAGATCGTTTCAACTGACTTGCACTGAAACTGCACTTTGAACACTTTAAATATATTAACATTTTAAACGGTATACCCCGGTTATCTAGGCCCTTTTTGTTTTGTTTAATTTATACCACGTTTATCTAGGCCCTTTTTGTTTTATGTATACATGTCACACTGTGGGAAACGATATTTCGATATTTCTGGATGTATAACACATGTATAATTTTTGCAACCATGTCTCCTAAAAATTACGTTCCCACAGAACTAAACTGCATTCTCAATTACGTTTAGCTAGAAACTGATTTACTCCCACGTTACGTTCGTTATGAACCTATTTAAAATACGTTTATTTTCTACATATCTTCTAGAAACGTATTTTCTCCCACGTTACGTTCGTTATGAACGTATCTTAAATACGTTTATTTTCTACATATATTTGCCATTTATTGTCTTGCTTATAATAATGATAATAGTCATTTATAAATATCATTTTAGAGCACACCTTTGAAATCGACAATCGGGCTCGATATATGGTTACATTAAAATCAGTAGGCGAGGCTGTAATTTCGCCAGCTGTTACACTCATGAGCGAGGCAGAAAATAATAGTTTTAACATGACAAAAAGCTGCTGTGTCATTTATTGCACCTCAAACATTAAAACAAATCTAGAGTTACGTGTTTCTGTACTTCCTCTAAGAAGAAAAGACAGTAAAAGAAGATCTCTGTGGCTTCAGGCTTGATCGCCGTTCAAATGACAGCGTTGGTTTCCCCAAAAGTGGGCGGGGCTGTAAAGTGACGTAGATTTTACTATCATCTATTATTCAAAACCATTCTATGTATTCTAACGTAAATTACATGCCAGTGTTTTATCTTTTTATTTATTTGTTTTTATTTTAAATCGTATAATGTCGGACTTTTTTTGTCGTCTGTGAGGAAAATAAATGGGGCTTAGAGCCTCAAAATACTGAAATCTGTATTTTTTTAATCTTTTCCTTCTAATTTGTTATTCTTTTCTAAATAACACACTGTTATTTACTCAACAATAACACACAATTATCCTTGTTTTTATTTATTCGTTTAATTCTATAATCTTGGGCATTTTAGCATGCTTTTTAGCCGTAAATAAAGTCACCAGAAACAGACGGGACATTTCGAGATTTAGGATGGCCAAAGATACTACACTACCCATAATCCCCACCTATCGTTTGGGACTACAGTCCCGTTGACAAACCCTGTGATGTTGGAGTGGCAGTGCGCCAAGGTTACGCCGAGCGTCAAGCTCTTTGAAATGGAACGAAACCACGGCAGACTATTCAAAACTGGACTCGAACGCCCCCCGAGAAATACACATGCTGGCTATTGTGTTTCGCAACATGTTCTCTATGGCACGTATCTACTGGGAATTGTAGTTTTAAAAGACGTTTTTCCAAAAATTAGAAGTTGCCAGTATTAAACTGTGTACAGCCCTGGAGGTTTAGGCGATAGGAAACACATTGGTGTGTACACATTTAAAACATGTAATTACTAAATGGGTGAAAATCGCTTGTATCCATAATGTGCAGCATTAATATATACCCACACGACAGCTCATTGTTACTTTGTAATTCTCCACTACAAATCAGAGGTTAACCTGGTATTTTTACTCCACTACATTTAGTTTAGTTACTTTGCAGATTCTGATTAATGATGTGAAATATAAACAACCCTTAAAGCAGACTTTAGTTACACCTGAGTGAAATTCAGGGAAGGTGATTGTCAAGTGCCAACAATCAGGAGAGATATTTGATAGGTGGTGCTTGAGAAGACTAAACATTTATCTGCAGATCTCTATAAAGTATATTCATTACTCGTTATTCTCTACTAATAGTTAATTCAAAACTGTATAATGGTTCTTTTGCACATCCCTTTCAAGATTTCAAGATTTTCTAAGGTGTATTGATCATATACACAACTTGGGTCGCAGGTTCCTCAACAGCGCATTACAAGACTCAAAAAGTACACAGTAAAAGTACTTGATTGTACTTTTGGTAGTAGTCCAAGTAGTACTGAATCCAACTGTACCAATTTTATTAAGAACTTATTGCAAAAAATCCTTTTATCTCTCATCAAAGATGGCAGAAAACATGCATTATTGTACTCAGGGGTGGAGTTTGACAAAGGATTACTCAAAAAGTACACAGTAAAAGTACTTGATTGTACTTTTGGTAGTAGTCCAAGTAGTACTGAATCCAACAGTACCAATTACATTAAGAACTTATTGCACAAAATCATTGTATCTCTCATCAAAGATGGCAGAAAACATGCATTATTGTACTCGGGTGGAGTTTGACAAAGGTTTACTCAAAAAGTACACAGTAAAAGTACTTGATTGTACTTGTGCTACTAGTCCAAGTAGTACTGAATCCAACTGTACCAATTTTATTAAGAACTTATTGCAAAAAATCCTTTTATCTCTCATCAAAGATGGCAGAAAACATGCATTATTGTACTCAGGGGTGGAGTTTGACAAAGGATTACTCAAAAAGTACACAGTAAAAGTACTTGATTGTACTTGTGCTACTAGTCCAAGTAGTACTGATCCAACAGTACCAATTACATTAAGAATTTATTGCACAAAATCATTTTATCTCTCATCAAAGATGGCAGAAAACATGCATTATTGTACTCAGGGGAATGAGTTTGACAAAGGATTACTCAAAAAGTACACAGTAAAAGTACTTGATTGTACTTTTGGTAGTAGTCCAAGTAGTACTGAATCCAACAGTACCAATTACATTAAGAACTTATTGCACAAAATCATTTAATCTCTCATCAAAGATGGCAGAAAACATGCATTATTGTACTCAGGGGTGGAGTTTGACAAAGGATTACTCAAAAAGTACACAGTAAAAATACTTGATTGTACTTGTGCTAGTAGTCCAAGTAGTACTGAATCCAACAGTATACATTTCATTAAGAACTTATTGCACAAAATGATTTTATCTCTCATCAAAGATGGCAGCAAACATGCATTATTGTACTCTGGAGAGGAGTTTGACAAAGGATTACTCAAAAAGTACACTATAAAAGTATTTGATTGTAGTTTTGGTAATAGTCCAAGTAGTACTGAATCCAACAGTACCAATTACATTAAGAATTTATTGCACAAAATCATTTTATCTCTCATCAAAGATGGCAGAAAACATGCATTATTGTACTCAGGGGAATGAGTTTGACAAAGGATTACTCAAAAAGTACACAGTAAAAGTACTTGATTGTACTTTTGGTAGTAGTCCAAGTAGTACTGAATCCAACAGTACCAATTACATTAAGAACTTATTGCACAAAATCATTTAATCTCTCATCAAAGATGGCAGAAAACATGCATTATTGTACTCAGGGGTGGAGTTTGACAAAGGATTACTCAAAAAGTACACAGTAAAAATACTTGATTGTACTTGTGCTAGTAGTCCAAGTAGTACTGAATCCAACAGTACCAATTTCACTAAGAACTTATTGCAAAAAATCATTTTTATCTCTCATCAAAGATGGCAGAAAACATGCATTATTGTACTCTGGAGGGGAGTTTGACAGGGGATTACTCAAAAAGTACACAGTAAAAGTAATTGATTGTACTTTTAGTAGTAGTCCAAGTAGTACTGAATCCAACAGTACCAATTTCATTAAGAACTTATTGCACAAAATCATTTTATCTCTCATCAAAGATGGCAGAAAACATGCATTATTGTACTCTGGAGGGGAGTTTGACAGGGGATTACTCAAAAAGTACACAGTAAAAATACTTGATTGTAGTTTTGGTAGTAGTCCAAGTAGTACTGAATCCAACAGTACCAATTACATTAAGAACTTATTGCACAAAATCATTTTATCTCTCATCAAAGATGGCAGAAAACATGCATTATTGTACTCAGGGGTGGAGTTTGACAAAGGATTACTCAAAAAGTACACAGTAAAAATACTTGATTGTAGTTTTGGTAGTAGTCCAAGTAGTACTGAATCCAACAGTACCAATTACATTAAGAACTTATTGCACAAAATCATTTTATCTCTCATCAAAGATGGCAGAAAACATGCATTATTGTACTCAGGGGTGGAGTTTGACAAAGGATTACTCAAAAAGTACACAGTAAAAATACTTGATTGTAGTTTTGGTAGTAGTCCAAGTAGTACTGAATCCAACAGTACCAATTACATTAAGAACTTATTGCACAAAATCATTTTATCTCTCATCAAAGATGGCAGAAAACATGCATTATTGTACTCAGGGGTGGAGTTTGACAAAGGATTACTCAAAAAGTACACAGTAAAAATACTTGATTGTAGTTTTGGTAGTAGTCCAAGTAGTACTGAATCCAACAGTACCAATTACATTAAGAACTTATTGCACAAAATCATTTTATCTCTCATCAAAGATGGCAGAAAACATGCATTATTGTACTCAGGGGTGGAGTTTGACAAAGGATTACTCAAAAAGTACACAGTAAAAGTACTTGATTGTACTTTTGGTAGTAGTCCAAGTAGTACTGAATCCAACAGTACCAATTACATTAAGAACTTATTGCACAAAATCATTTAATCTCTCATCAAAGATGGCAGAAAACATGCATTATTGTACTCAGGGGTGGAGTTTGACAAAGGATTACTCAAAAAGTACACAGTAAAAATACTTGATTGTACTTGTGCTAGTAGTCCAAGTAGTACTGAATCCAACAGTACCAATTTCACTAAGAACTT